AGGAAAATAGTATTTACCAGCAAACCTTCAACTGCAAATACAGTTGCTGTATGTGAGTGTTTTTCAGGGTGTTCCTTGTCTTTCTGGGTGACATTTGGGCCACTCCAGTGCCTGGGCACATGCACTTCTTGTGGTCTGCAGAATCACTTATCGCTGCTTTGTTCTTCCTGTAGAATCATGTTGCACAAGCAGAAAAGTTGCTTTCTTAGAAATGCAAGTCATAGCTGGTGGCCTCCTCTCCATTTGCCTGAAGTTTGCCTGCCAGGCTCTGCCCTGTGAGCTGGAGAGGACTTCCTATTACTGCTCGTGCTCACCTGCCATCACTGCCTTCAGAAGTGAGTCTCCTGCTGTCTCTGTCCCTTGGGGATTTGCTTGGACTGCACCCATTAAATATGGATACCTTAGGCAGTGAGTTGATTCTGGTTTCTGAAGTTACTTTTAAAGGTCAAAGGAGTCTGTTTGGTGCTTGGCACCTTGTGGAAATGAGCCTGCTTCATTTGGGATCCTAGACCGAGTTCTGGGCCATATGGATGTGCTGTTCCCTGTCTGCTTGTGCCCATCAGCTTCAGATGTGGGAGTACACAAAAACCTTGAAGAGTGTATATAGAATACAGTATTTCATGGAGAATTGATGGCAGTAAATTTAAAATGCCTTGCAGGTTTTCTGCGGTGGGTGGATTCAGGCTTGAAGTCCCCTTCAGTCCTTTCCTTTTCTTGTCAGACCTTTTCTGTCCCTCTGTTCTCACACGTCAGATTTGACTCCACATCCTTCTTTCAGTTGGAAGTTGTCCTGGTGCTCGTGTGGTGTGTTTGGGAGAACATGAATGTCCACCATTGCTTTGTGGGAATAAATGACCCTTGCCTGGCGTGTTGGGAGGGAATTGTAACCAGGGGGAGGCTGAGAGAGTGTATTTTCTCCATTTTCAAGTAGAACTTGTGGGGGCAGAGGGAGAAGTGCAGCTTTCCCTAGTTGCTTTTAGGGTTCTCTCAAGCTGCACTTCTTACCTGGCTTTTCCCAGTCAAAAAGCTTCAGGATTGAAGCAATCTGTTTACGAATTCAGGACAAAGCAAGTGCCAAAGGTATGCTCAGTTCATGTCCTGGAGTGTAAAAGCTGTAGAGTTGTGATGTGTGTTATGTTAGTGCTTGGGAGGGCTGGGTAAGGGGTAAGTATCCCCACCTATCACTTTTGTAGGTGTAACATTATAAGTAGTTTGTGGACACTTATTTCTGCTGGTTGGGGGTGTTTTTGGGGTTTTTTGATGGCTTTTTTTTCCTCCCCAGCATCAGTGTTGGTGTGTCTACACAGTGAAAATTAATTTTCTCCTTTTTTCCTTTCTTCCCTGGTTAGTTTTCAGGCACACTGTCTCCCCCACTCTGTGCCAAAATGTGGCTTCTGCAACCACCAGTGCCAGCAAAAGGGAGGGGATGAGTGGCAGCTGGGGACTGAGGTGAAGTCTGGAGTGTCCCTTTGCTGGCAGCCTGGATCCCTCCCTGCCTGATGAACAGCTATGGTCTGAGGCAATAATGAAAGAAATGAGAGACAGGGAATTACAGCAAAGTGATGAATCCCAAGTTTGACTTTTAGCTTTAGTTCCATAGCTCTCTGTATTACAGCCCTTTCCTAAAAGTTGCCTTTTGCTCTACTTTCCCCCTTTTTTAGGTATTTCTGTTTCTTCAGGTAGTCATGAGTGCTTTGTCTGTCTACTGAGGCATATAAATAATTTCCTTTATTACCACAGTTCTGCTTTGAATGCAGTCCCTTGATACAGTGCCTTTATGTGGATTTGGTCAAGTCCTTGCCTTTGATCTGCCTGAGATTATTAATTCTCTATTATAACTAATGGAGGCTTTGTGTTTCTCCTGCAGTCTCTGTCAAAAGATCTCAGAGCCTTTTGTACATGTGATTAGTAATGCAGGAGCACACTGGTGAGTTGTGTGTGTGTGGTTTGTCTCTAGAAAAGAATCTCAGTGTAGCAGCATATTCGGGGCTGGTTTTTCCTTTAAAAATGCCAGTTTTTGTAAAGCTTCCGTTTGTTAAGTGTTCCTGGAAGGCTTTTGAGTTTTGAAGGTGACTTTTCCTGAAAGAGTTTTAGCTGTCAGATGGAAATTCTGGGTGTGTTGGTCTGTGGCAGGCAAACAGAGGAGCAGGTTAAGAAACACTGCAGGGTCTTTACTCACCAAGGACCTGTTGCCTTCTGGTCTGACACTTCCCATGGGAAGTGAGAGCTCCAGCTGATACCTGATGTTTTGTGCAAGGTCTGGCTGCTTCATGAGGGGGATTTGTCCTGTGTCCACATCTCTCCTGAGATGTGAGTGAAGGAGGGTCGTGTCACTGGTCTGAAAGGGGTAGGAAGGGTCTGGAGAATGGGCTTTCTATTTTGGGAATGCTTAGCTGAACTCTTAGGATATGAGCTGTAGGCAGGTGAGTCACTGTCTGGAAAAGTGCAACTGGGCACAGTTTTGTCTCTGGGAATAGCAGGGAAACTTGGGAAGCAGTGAGACTTTGGGGGATGAAGAGAACTTCCATGCAGGCACATTTCCCATCTGTGCTGCTCCACCAAAGAGAGTGACAAACTTGCTTGAGCAAATCATCTGTAGTGGAGTCAAGGGTGACAAAGCAGTCTGATAGCTCCCAAAATTCAGGTTTGATCATGAGATGAGAGTGCATCTTATAAAAGCTCGGTTGAATGAGAAGGAGAGCACCATGTACAGAAGCTCATGATCATTGTCACAACAGCTGCTGCTTTCTGTGGGGTGGGATCCAGCCTTGCAGTCAGAAATAACCAGATCTAAAATTAAGTAGCATTTACCATCTGTTTTTGTGAGACACAGGGGCTTGAGGTCAGTTTTTTAATAACAAGGCAGTGGATGGCAAAGACTTAAGTGGACTCTGCTGTTGTTGGTGTCTTTTAAAATTACGCTGAGATTATTAATAGTGAAGGTAGGAAGGATCAAGCTTGATATCAGCTTGCTTTCTTTTAAAAAGGAGAAAACAGGGACGTCTTGTCTTTTTATAGCACTTCTGCTGACTTTAAAGGCCATTTTCTGACTAGGGGGAAGTCCTTGACAGCTCTGGTGGCGTTTCCAACTTTGTTCAGCTAATTCCATCTGTTGTGTGCAGTTTGTGTGCAGTCCCATGGTCTGAGACAGCCTGCCTGGCTTACAGATGTAGTGCTTTATAGCATGTGTATGTGATCTGCTCGTTCTGTTAATTTGTTTGAAAGGCCAGCACAGCTTCCAGTGTGACTAAACCATGTTTGACTGCTGACACTGCCAGGAGATTGTCAAAACATCTGAGGGCTGCCAGGAGCCCTTGCTGCTTTCCTGGGGGCCGATAGAGAAGCGACCTTTTCCATGTGAATTTAAATTTCTAGTTGAAAATGCAATTCTAGTGGAAAATGTGGTTTTTTTCTGAAAGCCTTGGCCACTTGCCCGTCCCTTTGTTACATTTGGATTTTGGTAGTGCTGGCTGATGGGGTGCTGAAATGGCTCAGGGGGCTGGTGCTGCCTGGTGATTGAGGATCTACTCAGAGAGGAGATCCCCAGCCAGAAGGGAGGGAGGGTCTACAGACACCTTGGAGAAATCATAGTTAATTCTGCCAGATACCTTTCCAAGGCATCATCTTTCAGTGCCTGTAGGTACACCTGACTTGCCCTGTGTAAGTTCCCAGCTCAGTCATTTAGATCATCAGCAAGTTTTACCTTAAGTCCCTGACCATTTTGTAGAGTCTGTGCTATGGGTCAAGGTGAGGGCAAACCCTTCTCATGGGCAGGAGAGCATTCCCTGGATGCTGGGGCTGCTCCTTTCAGTTCTGAGGGACTCCTCTGCCCTGACATTACCAGCAGGAGCAGACAAACCCACCAGGGGCAACAGATGCTGGAAAGGTTCTGCTGGGGACCATCCTTGACTAAGTGATGCTGCTTCAGCCTGTACTCAGCTTCCTTCCCCTTCCTGCTTCCCTTTGCTGCAGGTTTCCTCTGACAGATCTGAGATGGAATGATCAGGCTTTAGAGAAAAGTGTTTTACACCAATCTCAGTCAGAGAAGAAGGGACTGTACCAGCATAACAGGGGAAGATGTTCCCTGTGGGGAGGGGAAGGGGAAGAGAAGGAGCCCTGTGAATGGGCAGGTGGAGTGTGGGCAAGGAGCAGTAATAGCTCATGTGGGACCTGGTCCCCTGACTAAAACCTGTTGTGCAAGCTCTGCTCTACCAGTCAAATGCCCTCTTGCATGGATAAACCTCACAGCAGAGCCACTGTTGCCAGTAAAAAGTCGAGGAGGAATAATGCCCATAGTCTTTTACAGTACCTTTGGGTTGGTGAAAGCAGGGGCTGAAAGCCATTCTTGTAAATTTGCATTAAAATACTGATCAGGGTCTTCTCAGAAATGAACCTGTTGCTCCATCCTGACCATTATTTTAACTGCCTCCCCTTGCTCATTTGTGGGCTCTCTGTTCTTTTTTCCAGCGTTGTGGCTCAGTTTCCTTTTCCTGCCTCTGTTCCTTTGCTCAGCAGTGATAAGTGAATACTGGGGGGGAGTGAGCAGGGAAAAAGCCCTCAACGTTTGTTCAAGTGCAGAGTGAAAGAGTTCTGGAGTGCTGCAGATGGGGAGTACCCTGGCAGGTTCACATCCCTGCGTGCAGTTGCTTCTCTGTGTGCCGGTGTTGCTCTGTGAACCTGTGTGTTCCTGGGGCAACCTGTGGGAAACCCAACCCCAGAGGGTGGAAAGTACTCTCTTGGGAAGGTCCTTGCAGAGAAAACACCATCTTTGAGGTGCCTGCTTAAGAGCCAAGGCGGGTGCTTGGCTGTCAGTGGGACAGGGAGGGATTCCTGGCTGGCAGTCCGTGGCCAAGCGCCGTGTCCTGCTGGCCCCCCTTCCCCCAGCAGCTGGGAGCCTCTCTCAGTGCCTCCTCCTGTGTCACCGTGCCCAAATTAGCAGAGCTCTGGCACTCTGGGGGTGGCAGTCCCTGTTATCCAGTTGCTGCCATTCCATCAGTGTCCAGACATCCCGTGTGCTTCCCCTGTGACCTGCCTGTGCTGCCGGGGCCGGGATGGCCGGGCTGCTGTGCAAGAGGCGCAGAAAAGGAGGTAGGAAAGTTCCCTTTGTGGCAGGAATCTCTCCACGAGCTGTCTGTGCAGGCTCTGTGCAAGCAGCTCTCCCTGGGCAGCAGGTTTTGGGAGGTTATTTCTGCTGAAAGAGCTCTGCTTTGCCAGCAGCAACAGGAAAGGATGTTTTGGTCCTATGGGATCTGGCCCAGCCTCGCTGGATCTGAAGGCAACCACAGGGGTTATATGTGGCTTATCCTGAGGGATAGGGGGCTTAATACACAAAATTGCATTCATGTTTTCTTTCAGTTCAGTAAATTGCTCAGAAACAAGGACTTCTTGTTAAGAGGAGTAGAGATAGTTTTTCTATTAAGATGTAAGAGCAGGGGTATCACGTTGGTTGAGCTGTGAATAAAACTAGTTTAGCTGCATTTTAAAAGTATTCTGGCTTGAAATGAGTGCATCATTTTGTTCATATTCACATATCCACTACCCAGAGGAACTTAGCAGCTCTCTTGTGCATTTGCACAGCATTAGGGATGATGATGACCTGAACTTACTGAACACTTGGCATTCCCAGAATGACAGCCCTGCTGTAATAATGAAAAGAGAGTTTGTCTAGAAACAAGACTGATACTTCCAAAATAAACCTGGGCATTTCTAGTCCCAGCAAGGTTTAAAAAAATCTTACTTATTCAGTTCCCACATGAATTTTCTTGTGCCTCGTGGTGACTGTGTCCCTGTTGGCATCACGGTGTAGGAGCTGTTGGGGTGAGAAAGCTCTGGTTGGGTGTCCTGGGTAAGGCTGTTAGAGCTGGTTTCATCTGTTGCATGAGGCCTCTTTGCTCCCTGACTGTTTTTTACTTGTAGAGTTTTTCAAGAAAATGAGAATGAGTGCAGAAAAGGGGTAATTAAGAATTTCTTTAATAACATCTTTAATCAGGAGGTTAAATAGCCTGCAGACGTTGCGTTCTGTTTGTAATTGTTCTCACTGCAGAAGGTACAGCACAAAGAGCTGGCAGCCCCCTTTCCCTCATGAACCACGGTTCATAGACCAGCAGCTCTCAAAATGTGAGGCTGGTGTTTGGTGCTTGCAGAACATGAGGACAAAATGCCATAATTGAGGATTTTAGTGATGCTCAGTGTCACGCTGCCAACCAGAACTAAGTAACCTCTTTGGGGCTGCAATTAAGAGATGAGCTAACTTGTTTTGAGCACCTGTTTCAGTTCTCTGTGAGAGAAGGAGTGGGGATTGCAGCGTGTGCTTCTTCCCTGTCCTCCTCTGTGGCAGTAGGATCCCTGTGTTTTCCAGGGAAAAAGCGAGTCCTCATGCAGGATTTTGTACCTTTGCAGGCTGCATGCCCACAGTTTGATTTTCCACTGGGAAAGGGGAATAATGACTGCTCTGGAAGGAAGAGCTTACTGGGATACTGTCACTATTAGTTAACTGTTCCTCCCTTTTTTTTTTCCTGAGAAAAGTTTGTCTAGCAAACCTTATTTATTTGGAAGTCCTTATTTTCCCTGAAGAGAGTTTGGGACTTGGCCCCTCCCAAAGGAGACTGCAATATCACAAATGCTGCCACAAATGATTTTAGCCCATCCTAACACAGAACTGTCTTTGTATCTCCTATTTCACATGCATCTATTTCAGTGTCCTGGCTTATAATAAATGTTATCTGGATTTAGGGGGAGATGTGCCTTGGAAAGTGTAAAAGTGTTCCAGCATTGCTGCTGCTTTTCTTACTGTCAAGCTCTGTGAAGATACTAAAGACCTATTCAGTTCTTGTCCTCAGGTTCATTTCCTCCCATGTGGCAGGATGTAGGGAAGTATTTTAACAGCCATTTTATTTATGAAGAGTACTTTCCTGACTTTCCCAAATGAGAGTTGCAGGTTTAGGACAAAAGCTTGAAATAAAAAGTTTCGGATTTGTGCTCACCAGATCGTGGTACATCTGGTTTTATCCTGTGGAAATCCTGGAATTAAATACATTTTCACCCTGATTTTGGTAGGTCTTCCTGGGAGCCTCTGAGGCTTTAATAGGGCCCCTTCCTTGGGGAGAAACAAGCACCCTGGGCTTGTTCTTACCACAGGATTGGGTTTCTTGCAAGAAGTTTCCAGCCAGTGGTGTGGTAGCTCTGTTTAATGGGAAGCTATAAAAGGATGTTCCTTTGATTTTATTTTCCACTGTGGCTGCAGTTCTTCATGCCATAAACTGTGGTCCTGTTTTGAAATGGATCTACCAGATGTTTTCTTTTACTATGAGTACTCCAGTCCACCAACTTTACATTTATTGCACTCTTTCTCTCTGTTTTTTTCCCCTCTGTTCAGTGAGTGACCTCCAAGAAGAAGGTAAAAATGCTATCAATGCACCAATGAACCCAAGCACCGTGGACATCCATCCAGAAGATACACTACTAGGTAAAGTTTTCATGCTACAGACCTTGACTAAGGTAGTTTCTGGACTCTCTCCTGTGTCCATCCCCATCCCACCTCTCTGAGTCCCCACAAGAGCAACAGCATAATTTAACAGCAAAAAGCGTTTAAAACTTGTTGTCTCCCCTGGCCATATGTCTCTTGATCTACAGAATTAGTTGAAGCAAGCTGTCATGGAGACAAATAATTAAATTAAAACCAGGAAAGTGTTAGTCATTTGGATTTTCTGATTAGGAGAGTAGGAGGAAATGCAAAGTACTTTTCTTCTGAGACGTGGGCAAAGTGTTGACTGCTCTGTGTGTGTGTGTGTGTGTCTGTCTGTCAGGGGTGTCTCCAGTGATTTCTTCTGGATGCCACTAGAGTTTAGAAGATGCAGGACCACTCCTGAAGGCTTGTCATGCAGAGACATGATCATTGGTGAACCTCAGCCTGAGTTCTGTGGTGAATCATGTGTGGGTCAAACACTGTTCAGGGTTAACAGTATTTTGGGTGTGTAGTGGGTGTCACTTCCTTGTGATAGAATGCTTGACTCATCCTAGGCAGTAATGGGGAAGTAAAGGAGCAGGGGGTAAAAAAGCAGCAATAGAGTTTTTCATAGGTTTAGGGAAATTTTTCAGTGTTCAGATAGCAGGGCCTTGCTTTTTTAATAAGTGTCAGGGGCCCTGGAAAATACTGAACCCAAATGTGTGGGTGAAGTCTGAGACAACCAGTTAGATGGTGTAGTCAATCTGGAATGTCATGTTTCCCATGTTACAGCAGGAAACAGTCTGGCACTGCCATAGGAAGTCACTTCAGGCTGGTCATGGTCAGGATTTAAAGTGTGGCAATGGCCTGACCAGTGGTGATACCAACACCCTCCTTTGTTGTCATGGTAGAAGGAGCTGAGAAATCAATGGGAAAATATGACATCATATGGCCTGTCTACACTCAATTAAAGATAAGTCCATGGGGTCCCTAAATAATAATTTAGCTGAAGAGACGTGGATCTCCCCGGGAAGCTGTGCCACTGCCACCCATCCTTGTGTTCCTCTTGTGCAGTGCCACTGAAAGGAGCAGCTCTAACCTGGATCACAGCTCCCACTTGGCTACTCAGGGAGCTGAAATTAAGGGCTCAGGGAGGCACCTGCAACTTAAAAGCAAGCAGCAGAATTTAAACTAAGAGGCTTGCTCCAGCTGCGTCCTAAATACTGGTATCCATATCTGCAGCAGCATAAAAACACGTCCATGAAGAATGAAAGTTCCAAAAGCTTTGCTGCTGGCTGTCATCCTAAACATAATTAGGGCAAACAGACTGTAGGAATGGAGTCACAGGCTTTGAAAACATACTTTATTGTTTCACAGAAGTGGCAGATTCCTGGGGGTTTCTCACGTGTCCGTGTGTGCTGTTGTGAAGGTAATTTTGCCAAAGGTTTGGTTTTTAGCCTTATTGAGCTCAAGTTGGATTTTGCTACCAACATTTCACCCCTTTTAAAAATAACTCTTGGTGTTCATGCCTCTTACACTGGTCCTTCTGGCTGTTGGAGAGCACTTGTCACATATCTTCATCTCAGCAGCAGCAGAAGTAGAAGACTTTACACCTGCAAAATTTTACTTTATGTTCTTCCCCCATACACAAGTACTGATAAAAAGTGGGGTAATTTTATTTTCCAAAGGTGAAGGAGTTCCTGCACTCAGGGCCACGTCTGACCAAGTTTCAGGGAACCAGAGAACGGAGGCACAAACACTCAGCCCAGTTTCACTGGTTGTAGTGCCATAAACTCAGGTGCTGTCATTTGGGACAGGTGTTTTCAAACAGGAGTGAAGTCCAAATCTAGGAGAAGGACTGCACTTTTTGCTGTGCTATTATTAACATGCCCCACATGAGGACACTGATTTTCCTGAGGCATTCTGCCCAGAGCAGGGGAGATCAATCAGTGGAAACAGTCTTATTTTAGGGAAGTAGGGCTGTGTTATCTTTCTGTGTGTCCCTAAAATTGCCTGACACTGGTCATCAGGCACTCCCTTGCTAAGATGATGACTGGGCACTGTCACTTGTCCATCAGCTGACAGGCCCCTCGATGAGTAGGAGTTGTTGCACTGTGTGTTTGGAGTTGATCCCACTGATGTTTCCCATTTTCCTTGGGCAGAGGAGAACGAGGAGCGCACCATGATTGATCCCAACTCAAAGGAAGACCCCAAGTTCAAAGAGCTGATCAAGGTAGGAGATCAATGTTTTGTCCTCCTTCAAGTCTTTAACGAGTGAGCTGGAGTGATTTGCAGTTAAAAACCTTTAAAATCAGAACCACAATAAACAGCAGCTTGTTACTGCAAAAAACTGAGGTGAAGGTCATCGACAAGGTAAGGCTGAAAGCAACAGTGAGAGAGACACAAACATGTCAGAGTGCCCTGTGTTGTGGCCTCAGTTTACTTCCCACTACACTTTCTCTTTATTGTTTTAAAGTAATTATAAAAATTATTTTTGTTAGAAACAACAACACAGCTGTATCTGGGTGGGACTGAAAATTTGGGGTAGTGTATTCTGTTCTCCACACAGGGGTTGAGCTGTGGCATATTCCCCTCTGGAGTCCTTGTGCACCCTGACTGCACACACGTGGCTCACAGAACGCCTCAGCAAACTGCTCATCTCTAAAACAAGCCCAGTGATCTCTTATTATCACTGCAATAACATCTTTAGGGTTACAAAACCACATCAAACCGACTTCAGCAAGGAGCCGTGCTCGGATTTTGTGGTTATCCTAATTCACCTGGATTACATTGTGGTTTTAAATGAAGTGAATTTGCACATTCTTTCTTTGTTAGCACCTAAATCCATTAATTCTCTCAAAAGGTGCAGTGGTCTTGCATCACTCTTCCCACATGTAATGTGGTTTCTTTGCAAGTGGGGCAGTGATATTATCTTGAATAATACAGCTGAACAGGAGCTGTTGCAGTGAAGGAACCAGATGCACTCTGTGGTGCAGGAGACTTGATGCTGAGATCACAATTGCTTCTAAATCGGGAATTTTCCTGTTTTTAATGAGTTGGTGAGTCCTACCCGGATGTCATAGTCCAGCAAGGTTATATTTTTCAGATTAAAAGCCTGAAAAGCTTCAGGAGCAGGGAAATCCATGGCTAGAGCAGCACTTGAGAACGTGTCTTGAGTGCTTACAGCATGTTGCAGAGCCAGGCTCTGGGTCACCAGGCCAGTTTGCACTTGCACAAAGAGAGAGGCTGTGGAACTGGAGGTTGTTTCCTTGGGATCATCCTCAAAGGAGAGATGTGTCCTGTAGAGAGCCTGTGTAATTTAGGTAATTGCTAATTATCAGCGTACCCCTCAGCAGTCAAGAGTTTTTGCAGAGATTCAGCTGTGTTGGTGTGAATTCACACTGTGCTGGTGGGAATCTCCAGGGCAGGCAGAGGTCTGAATTATGTCTGCAGAACTTATTTGATGGTACAGAGTTTGGATAATGCGAAAAAATGAGCAATTTATTCCTTGTTTTCTGTTCTTCTGTGGCTGATGGCGTTTTCCAAGAGCCCCAAGTAAGTAATTTGCTGTCCAGAGCCAGCAGAAAAGGCTGCCTGCCCCACAGAGCTTGAAATGAAAGATCTCCACGGACTAGAGAGGAGAGAGAACTTGAATAGAGGGATGTTGTTACAGTTCAAAGTGGCTCCCTCTGTGTTTTCCCCTCAGAGAAGAATGTGTCAATAGCAGCCACAGAGCCCTCATGCCTTTGGAAATTTGGCAGCCTGGCTTGGTTTGGTTGGTGCCAGCCCAAATCCCTTTCAGCACCAGAGTCAGACGTGCCAGTGCTTTGCCATCCCTGACTCCGAGTGTGTCTGCTCTGGCTGTTGGGTGAGAGGATCCCAGAGCAAGGCAGCAGCAGAGAGATCTGCTGCTGGTGCTGCTTCAGCACCCCTTTGCCTCCACCAAAAGTTGCTTTAATTCCCACTGACCTCACGCCACAGGAATTACGTGCGTGGTGGGTCGGGCGTTGGGAAGGGATTCTGACAGGGACACAGGCTGTGGAGCAGTGTGGTAACCTGGAGGGAGCAGCAGAAGAAAAACACAACCAAAAGCCTCATTCCTCACTCTTATTATTATTATTAAAGCAAATACACGGCAAATCCCCTTGCTGAAGGCTCCTTAGTTGAGGATGCAAAAGTGCCTGCTTTAAGTCTTCTTGCACATATGAAAAACATTATGCCTGGAAGTGTTGTTTGTTACCATCATGGACAATATTCTAAAAACAGACACNGCCCGTCCCTTTGTTACATTTGGATTTTGGTAGTGCTGGCTGATGGGGTGCTGAAATGGCTCAGGGGGCTGGTGCTGCCTGGTGATTGAGGATCTACTCAGAGAGGAGATCCCCAGCCAGAAGGGAGGGAGGGTCTACAGACACCTTGGAGAAATCATAGTTAATTCTGCCAGATACCTTTCCAAGGCATCATCTTTCAGTGCCTGTAGGTACACCTGACTTGCCCTGTGTAAGTTCCCAGCTCAGTCATTTAGATCATCAGCAAGTTTTACCTTAAGTCCCTGACCATTTTGTAGAGTCTGTGCTATGGGTCAAGGTGAGGGCAAACCCTTCTCATGGGCAGGAGAGCATTCCCTGGATGCTGGGGCTGCTCCTTTCAGTTCTGAGGGACTCCTCTGCCCTGACATTACCAGCAGGAGCAGACAAACCCACCAGGGGCAACAGATGCTGGAAAGGTTCTGCTGGGGACCATCCTTGACTAAGTGATGCTGCTTCAGCCTGTACTCAGCTTCCTTCCCCTTCCTGCTTCCCTTTGCTGCAGGTTTCCTCTGACAGATCTGAGATGGAATGATCAGGCTTTAGAGAAAAGTGTTTTACACCAATCTCAGTTAGAAAGCAAGGGACTGTACCAGCATAACAGGGAAGATGTTCCCCGTGGGGAGGGGAAGGGGAAGAGAAGGAGCCCTGTGAATGGGCAGGTGGAGTGTGGGCAAGGAGCAGTAATAGCTCATGTGGGACCTGGTCCCCTGACTAAAACCTGTTGTGCAAGCTCTGCTCTACCAGTCAAATGCCCTCTTGCATGGATAAACCTCACAGCAGAGCCACTGTTGCCAGTAAAAAGTCGAGGAGGAATAATGCCCATAGTCTTTTACAGTACCTTTGGGTTGGTGAAAGCAGGGGCTGAAAGCCATTCTTGTAAATTTGCATTAAAATACTGATCAGGGTCTTCTCAGAAATGAACCTGTTGCTCCACCCTGACCATTATTTTATCTGCCTCCCCTTGCTCATTTGTGGGCTCTCTGTTCTTTTTTCCAGCGTTGTGGCTCAGTTTCCTTTTCCTGCCTCTGTTCCTTTGCTCAGCAGTGATAAGTGAATACTGGGGGGGAGTGAGCAGGGAAAAAGCCCTCAACGTTTGTTCAAGTGCAGAGTGAAAGAGTTCTGGAGTGCTGCAGATGGGGAGTACCCTGGCAGGTTCACATCCCTGCGTGCAGTTGCTTCTCTGTGTGCCGGTGTTGCTCTGTGAACCTGTGTGTTCCTGGGGCAACCTGTGGGAAACCCAACCCCAGAGGGTGGAAAGTACTCTCTTGGGAAGGTCCTTGCAGAGAAAACACCATCTTTGAGGTGCCTGCTTAAGAGCCAAGGCAGGTGCTTGGCTGTCAGTGGGACAGGGAGGGATTCCTGGCTGGCAGTCCGTGGCCAAGCGCCGTGTCCTGCTGGCCCCCCTTCCCCCAGCAGCTGGGAGCCTCTCTCAGTGCCTCCTCCTGTGTCACCGTGCCCAAATTAGCAGAGCTCTGGCACTCTGGGGGTGGCAGTCCCTGTTATCCAGTTGCTGCCATTCCATCAGTGTCCAGACATCCCGTGTGCTTCCCCTGTGACCTGCCTGTGCTGCCGGGGCCGGGATGGCCGGGCTGCTGTGCAAGAGGCGCAGAAAAGGAGGTAGGAAAGTTCCCTTTGTGGCAGGAATCTCTCCACGAGCTGTCTGTGCAGGCTCTGTGCAAGCAGCTCTCCCTGGGCAGCAGGTTTTGGGAGGTTATTTCTGCTGAAAGAGCTCTGCTTTGCCAGCAGCAACAGGAAAGGATGTTTTGGTCCTATGGGATCTGGCCCAGCCTTGCTGGATCTGAAGGCAACCACAGGGGTTATATGTGGCTTATCCTGAGGGATAGGGGGCTTAATACACAAAATTGCATTCATGTTTTCTTTCAGTTCAGTAAATTGCTCAGAAACAAGGACTTCTTGTTAAGAGGAGTAGAGATAGTTTTTCTATTAAGATGTAAGAGCAGGGGTATCACGTTGGTTGAGCTGTGAATAAAACTAGTTTAGCTGCATTTTAAAAGTATTCTGGCTTGAAATGAGTGCATCATTTTGTTCATATTCACATATCCACTACCCAGAGGAACTTAGCAGTTCTCTTGTGCATTTTCACAGCATTAGGGATGATGATGACCTGAATTACTGAACACTTGGCATTCCCAGAATGACAGCCCTGCTGTAATAATGAAAAGAGAGTTTGTCTAGAAACAAGACTGATACTTCCAAAATAAACCTGGGCATTTCTAGTCCTAGCAAGGTTTAAAAAAATCTTACTTATTCAGTTCCCACATGAATTTTCTTGTGCCTCGTGGTGACTGTGTCCCTGTTGGCATCACGGTGTAGGAGCTGTTGGGGTGAGAAAGCTCTGGTTGGGTGTCCTGGGTAAGGCTGTTAGAGCTGGTTTCATCTGTTGCATGAGGCCTCTTTGCTCCCTGACTGTTTTTTGCTTGTAGAGTTTTTCAAGAAAATGAGAATGAGTGCAGAAAAGGGGTAATTAAGAATTTCTTTAATAACATCTTTAATCAGGAGGTTAAATAGCCTGCAGACGTTGCGTTCTGTTTGTAATTGTTCTCACTGCAGAAGGTACAGCACAAAGAGCTGGCAGCCCCCTTTCCCTCATGAACCACGGTTCATAGACCATCAGCTCTCAAAATGTGAGGCTGGTGTTTGGTGCTTGCAGAACATGAGGACAAAATGCCATAATTGAGGATTTTAGTGATGCTCAGTGTCACGCTGCCAACCAGAACTAAGTAACCTCTTTGGGGCTGCAATTAAGAGACGTGCTAACTTGTTTTAAGCACCTGTTTCAGTTCTCTGTGAGAGAAGGAGTGGGGATTGCAGCGTGTGCTTCTTCCCTGTCCTCCTCTGTGGCAGTAGGATCCCTGTGTTTTCCAGGGAAAAAGCGAGTCCTCATGCAGGATTTTGTACCTTTGC